TGCCCACACTTCAAGACCTGAGGCTGATTGGAACAATCCAATACAGTTCTATACAAAGATGCAAATTTCAGATTTGCAGTCTACAAACTCAGGAACAATCTGGTAATTTACTACAAGCATACAAATTATGACAAGAATTGTGACAAAGAATTAGCATACCAAGCATAATATCCTCTTATCTAAAATAAACTGTAAAAAAGGCAAGACCTGCTCTCTGGGGTACTTGCCTATTTATATGTTCCTACTGTACTTAAAATATTAATTTTTTCTCTTGAAAACTGTCTGACTTTAGCTTCACTCCATGCACACATCATTATTCCCTGATCCTATAGAGTTACAGGCATATTGATTAAGAACACTTTCCTTTAAGAAAGTTTATTTCCTTAAGTCACTCCAGGAGACATCTCCAGATGGCTGCTCAGAACTGGATTTAAACTTATGTGGTGATCTGCCTCAGTGGGATCCTGTGTCTGTGCTGACTTTCAAGAGAAACTGAAGAGACAAGTCTCCTTAAAATTAGCATTTATAAATATCCTGCCCCTCAGTGCCCAGAAATTTTCACAAAGAAGGGTCACATGCTGTAAGTTTATACTTCTGCTTTCCAGCACTGATTTCCCATATTAAACAGTCCACAAAACTTCATTTATTTTGTATTTTAAAAATGCATCATAATTATCCTAATGTAAACTAAAAGCATTCTATACATGCAATATAAACAATTTTTTAGAGTGATTACTTCTAGGAAAATCTAGTTCAATGCTCAGCAAAGAACTAACTGTTCTTGACACAGTTAAAATATACACAAGCTGATTAAAAATATTCCCTATAGATTCTTTGCCTAAGGCACAGAAAAAATGATTTTCAGTTCGGTATGTTTGAGCTTGAACTGGTAGAAAGAGACACTTCAGTAGTGTTGAAACATGCAAAGTAAAAAATGTTAAATGCTAAGAAGACAATCACGGAAGGATACTAAATTAAAATTGAAAGAATTAAAAAAAGACTCAGCCTGACAAAGCCTGGAGGTATACATAACTCCAAATGGAAAGAACAAGGAAGTGGTATCAGTCTACCTAATAGATGAGATACAAAAATTGGCATGAAGAGATAAGAACTTTCATTCAGAATATTAAAACTCTCTTCTAGAGATGTCCTTTGAAAAGCACCTAAAATTATTTTATCCTTGTCAGCTTGTAAATGAAAAGTCTTAGAATTCCAAGAGGCAGAAAGATGGATGCTGAAAGGGAAATATCTGAATCTCTAAAGACAAATAATTAATTCTCCATGTAGATTAGATGCTGGAAGTATACAAAAAATATACTAAAGAAAAAATCAATTAAAGTAAATAGAAACTCTCTAAAAATCAAACCTTTCCCATTAAAATTCAGGATGCTGTAGAACTGCCTCCTCTTTTCGATTAAGATGACTTATTACAAGTAAAATATTTGGGACCTGTCTAAACTGCATCAAAACATAATGGAACTTCCACCATGACAGCATAATGCAATTGTTTATCTCATTAAAATTTGTCACTCTTATAAGTAAACTGAAGAATGACAAACTGAAAGCTAGCTATAGTACCACAAGCTGATTGCAAGGAATCTGAAGACCTAATTGAAAGATCAGTTGCTTGAAGCATTTATTGATAATTTGTAATGCAGGATGACCATCAGCAGGGCCAAATCTGAGACTACACAAAGCTACTCTTGTTTAATGGGAGGAAACCAAAAAACTTCTGAGTAACAGACAGAACTAAGTAAACTAAGCCTGAGCAGCAGATAAAATCCAATAGAAATCAATCCTTTAGAGTAGAATTTATGAGAAATTTCACCAACTCTATGTTCAGGAATGTGCCCTGTTATTGTTATGTCCCAAGGGAATCCTTGCACAGACAAACTTAGCCAAAATATTTGTATCAGAATGTCTAAAGATAGTCACATTACAAAACTTCATTAACCAGACATACACATAAACCCTGAAGCATTCATAACAGCACCTTCCCATGTGGATTCTCTGATGTCAGTCTAGGATGAAGTCACACTCCTGCAAGGATACTAATATTACTAATATAATGACACTCATTTTTGTTTATATTCTTGAGACTCACATTCCTTCAAATGATTGAAGTTGGCCTTAGGACTCAAAAGTTACTGAGGAGACCGCAAATCCTATATGAAATATGATTACTAAGACTGTTTATTTAAGAAACCTAGTGGTGCTATTGTGAAGAAGAAAACAAAAAATCATGCCATCATTTTCAGGGAGCATCTAGACAATGCTCTTCATCATATGGTTTAGTTTTAGGTAGTAGTGCAGGGTTTTTGATTTGATGATCTCTATGGATTCATGCCAACTCAAGATATTTAATGATTTTATGATTTTAAGTATTGCATTTTGATCATATCTTCCCTAGCACTCAAAGACTCAGTGATTTGCAAGGTAAAATAATGTGTGCAATATAATAGTTAAAAAAAACCCATACTTTCTCTAGAGGTGAATAGACATGAAAGGACGTGATAAAAATACAAGTGAATTTTAGGAGGGAGTAGTAAGATAAGGATTTTTTTTCCCCTCTCTACTAACAGATTGCTAAAGTATTTTAAAGGAATGGAATGACTTTATATTGAAACCTAAGGTTCGCTTTCAGAACTCCCTATCATGAGTTGTAACTATATCTGAAGCTATTGTGATTTAAGGAAAAAAAGGTAGCATTTCAAAGAGAACAGAACTATGTGTCTTACAGAAAAAAAAAAACCAAAAAAACCCAAAAATACATCCAAAAAAAACCCATCCAAAAAAACCCAAAAAGCACAAACTAAAAAACATCCAGAGAATTAGCATATGGAAAGAGAGAAATAACTAATACAAAAAGCATAAACCAGCTTCTAAATGTGAGAAAGACAAATTTTAGCAGAACTATCAAAAACAGAACTGTCAAAAAGCAAAGACTCAGTATTTCTACAATGTGTCCATGTGTCAAAATGTCAAGATCCATCTTGAGGCTCCCAGCAAATATATGCTGTCTTAAAGTTACTATACTTTCCACAGTGGTAATTGGGATTCTTTTAAAATATTGTGTTTTTAAGACAGGGCAATTGTTTCAAGAAAGGTAGTCATAAACTTCACCTTCCAGTTGGCATTGCTTTCCATGAAACAGCAGCGCACAAACAGTAGCACACAACAGGCACACTCACAGACTACAATTTAGTAATCACAGGGACCCTACCTGTCACTGTTACACTCTTCTTTAAAGTCTCTGCAATTTCCTTCTTAATCATTCTGAATACTCAAGCACAGCATAGTTTTAAAATCAGCCCAGTCCTCTTTTTTGACCTAATAATGAATACTTCGAAGCTGCTTTAACCAAGAGATTAGAATTCTTCTGAAAAACTGTATTCCTCAGTACATTTCTCTGACTGCAGAAGACAGAATTACCAGCCTTCCTTAATGACATCACAAGGTGCTAAGGAAAGCTTGTATGTCCGTCAACCACACCTCAGTGAAGCATAGCCTGAACTAGAAGTACTCCTAAGTAGCAAATCTTCCTCACATAGCTGAAAGAAACCATGAGATTTTTTTCCTGTCAATTTGAAAAAGAATCCTTGCAGGCTGAACAGAAAAACTAAATTAAATCAGAGTAAGGAGGATATTTGAACTTCTTAAACCATTTAAGCTCTTGCACATGACTATCTAAATGGAAGTTAATTTTTATTTCTAAGGCATGATCTATGAAGTACACTGGGCTGAGGACCTGTGCTCTCTATGAGATACTGCCAGTAGTTGCAGTAATGAATTGGTTACAAAAATTCACGTCTAAATCCCCTAGAATTCCACTGCATCTCTACGAAGCACCTAAATTAATCTTCTGCTTTTCTTGAAAAAAAGGGAACACAGAAGTTTTTTCTGTTATAAGCTGAAATTCTAGTGCAATCAGAATATAGCACTCCATCAAAGGATAACCCACTTAACTAAGAATAGGTCTTTCTCAACCCTAGGACCTTGTGGAGCAGAAAGTTTCTTTCTCCTTGGGGTTCTTGAGAGCTGTTTATCAAGAGGGAGATTTAGATGCAAAATGTCAACATGCTTTAGATCTCTCATGTGGAAGTCTACATCAAGGACTGAAATTTGGACTGAAAAAATGTGGACGCTATTTATGTTGAGGACCTAAAGAAATATTTTCTTCAGGTTGCTGCATGGAGTCTAAAGACAAAATAGCTGGACAGTAGAGGAGCGTAATTTATGTGGAAGATCTTCTTCTCAGTAGTGAAGGTTTTAAGGAAAGCTGGCAAATAAGATAGATTTGATGAAGTTCTGCTTTGTTCAAGGGAAGACACAATTTCAACATATTGTTAAATGTAATTTGAAACAAGACTTTTTCTGGCACAGCAATTCTTCTCATTCCCATCCAATGGTTCCTGTCAAATTAGGCTGCTTGGAGTTATAGGCAAGGAACATTTCTCTCATCTTCTCTTCCTTGGGGAATCTAGCACAATATAAGTGCAACAACAAAAATATAGGCATCAATTTATTATAAGGATCCTATTTTGCCTACAATAGCCTCTCTGGAAAGTTACCATCATTTCTGTTTTAAGGAGTGCTCTCTGTGAAGAATGGGTTTTACTCTCTAGCTTCCTATAATCACAGAAAGTTTTATGCCATACTACCAATACTAATGTTTTCCATTGTTCTGAAATTTTTGGATGAAGGATAAAAATGCAAATATTGAAAAATTTTCCTTGTTTTTTACAAACAAAACCAATGAAGAACACTGATGGACTGCATGAAAGGGGAAGAAAAGTATATTTAAAAATAGCATTTACACTTTTTCCTAAACCATTAAGAGATATTGTTTTTTCTCTAGAATATTAAAAAAAGATTGAAGCTTTAGAAATTCATGACATGTGGGGCTAAATCAGTCTATTACCGATTTCTAACAGGTATAATCATGAATAATTTTTCAGAAGGAAATGTAAGTTAAATTGAAATAACAGATTTGTACTTACTGTAGCTAATTCATCAAATTTTCCAAAAAGCTCATTCAGCAGCTTCACTAGCTCTTGGGCAGTACACTGTGATGCCAAACTAGTGAACCCCACAATGTCTGCAAATAAAATACTGTAAAGAAGTAAAGAGACACAGATAAATTAGTAGAGATCTTCACATTCTTGTTACTCTTTTCACAGCACAAATGCAATGCAAAGCATGAACTCCAGTAAGTCCCGAAATATTATCAACAAAGTGCTAGTTGTAAAAAAATGGAAAATATTCAGAATAATAGGCATTAGTCAGATGCTGTCAACTGTTGTAGAGAACTCTCAGACAGTTGCAATTGCTACATACCTACCTGTCAGATAAGACAAAGCACCTCATTCATAGAGTGCCCATTCATGAATACTCTAGGAGCATGGTGTACAATTTATTCTCTTTGCAGCTAGGATCGCCTCAGCTAAATTGGTTACAGAGTCAGTTTTGCACTGCCAGAGTTCCACAGCCAAACAGATAAACCTTGCATGAGGTTTACTATGTACTGAAAGACAGGGGTTAATAACTTCGGTGCAGTAGCTCTGTGATGTGTTCTTGTGGTCTGCGATGATGCAGTAGCTTCCTGAGAGGAGCTAGAATCCACAATGTCCTGCCAGTATTCTCTGCACTGTGCTGCCTGGCTCAGGTAAATATCCAGCTTTAATCAGTATTAACAAGGTTTTAATGTCCAACAATTTAATCTTCTTTAACAATCCCTGGTAGTCAGATTTGATCAAGGGAGATACTTGAAATAAGTGCAGGTACTATTGTGATTGAGAGAATAAAAATTATTGTGTAAATCACGAGACTCAAGGTGCTGTGATCCTTTCAAATTTTTAGATTCCTACTGTTGGTAGAAGCTGCAGGAACACACTACATTTATCTCCAATACCCAGAATAGAAATGCCAAATAATTTATGAAAGCACTAATAAACCATCCCATGATTTATAGCCTAGGTATAACTGACATAGTGTAAAACTTAGTTTGCTAACTGTAAATTGAATTAAACATTATGTACTCCCATTCACCTCAGCAAAGCTTCTCTCTTTAGATAAAAAAGCAATACTAGAAAAGCAGGCCTAGTAAGTCTACTGTTTTCCATTCTTCATAAGCAAGTCTCAACACTCCTAATATGCTACAAAAAATGGCAAATACAAGTCCTGACTCACACCCTCCGTTTATAGTTTCATTTAACCCAGCTGTTTAAATCCCTTGTCCACCACAGCAGATAAGTAGCATATCCCAGCACAAAGCCAACTCATCCGAAGTTCAATGACTTTGGTCTATAAACAAAGCCCTTGCACTGTCATTTTTATCCTTGGGGCAGTGTCTCCACTCAGTACTTCTTGGAGAATTATGAGAACATTGTTCAAGATGGCCCTGGTTCAAAGAAAAAATAAATAGTTGTTCCATTCCCACGCTGTTCAAACATAACAAAAAGGCTTCTTACAATAAAAAGTCAGATTTTTTTTTTTTAATTTTACTGATTCACATCTCTGCTATCATAAAAGTGAACCAGTCAAGTGATGGGTAAAATAAAATGCATTAACAGAGTTGAATAACACCTACATATTTGTCATGAAAGATCTACGTTTTCTCTTAATTCTATATTGATGTCCTTGTTGTTTGATGGCCCTAGGTCTTTCTGGAAATTCAGAGTTACCTAAATTCCTTGAAGATTTTCAAAAGCACTTAAATGTGCATTAGTGTCTTTCATACATTTTGCTTTATGGCTATTTTTTTTTTTTAATGACCTAAATTCACATCAGAACTTACACAGTTTAAAAAGGCACGGAGGAAAAACCAACAACTACAATTGTTGCAATCCAGTATGTCATCTAGTTTAATTCAATTCTCTCAGTATGGAGGGGGAGCGGGGATGTTAGTTAATAATAATAGCTTCTGATAGCCTTTCTGCCTTTTTATATCTCATCTATTTTACACATTTTACTTTTTGATTGGTTTTGCTTTTCTATTTCCATTTTGAATATGGTGGTCCACTTTTTTTCACTGTCCATACATACAGTAACAGTAATATTTTCAGCAGCACCAACAATGTCCATTTGCAAAAAAAAAGCTCCATGGAGTTGGGAGGCGCTGAGGCCTTTAAGGTAATAACAATGTTATCTCATTACTAAAGTCTTTAGCAATGACGAACATCCATATACATACAAACCAGAGATGTTCGGTGTTTGTGAAAACTATGTCTTAAGATGTAAGAGAGCAACCATTACAACACTGACATGTACACATATCAAAACCTCTCTATTAGTGAAACATAGAGAATAGGAAACAGGTTCCTATATAATCATTCAGTTAAGAAGAGCGTTGTTTTACATATGGGTTCCTTAGTAGGTCAGTATCACATCCTTGTTAATTCTTTAAACATTTAAAGAATTCATAGTCCTCAGCACTTGATTCAAAACACTGGTAATTGTACAAAAATGTGAAGTCCATAAAAGCACCCACAACACAGAACATACCATTGAAAATCTAGGTAAAAATATGTAATTATTGTATGCTGAGAGACTGATGTTTAATTATGCTTGTGAATTTTAATACTGTGGTTAACTGCATGTATACATTTTAAAGGTTATGGAATAGGTTAGGTAATATGATCATTGTTACACTTTCTCTTTTTTTACAAAATTCCCAACTCCTTTAATACAATATTCTTAAAATATGCAAAGTATAACTCTCATGTCTGGGTATGGCACAGATGGGGAAATGCTGTAAGTAGAAGTTCTGCCTTTTATTAAAGAAAAATCTCCTCCTTTTTACCACCATGAAATGTTACAATCATAGTAACTGCTGCACTTTGTTGGAAAGTAGGCTGAAATGCCAGTGACTAGACCTGATTTTGCAGCAACAGTGGTAGGAAACAGCCAGTGGAGGAGCAGGAGATTTTTCTACCCAAAGTGCAACTAGCACTGCAAGCCTGCTGCTTCCATAGTCTGCCCTCAGGGGTGGCAGTGCTGAGGAGAACACACACAGACAGAGCTCTACTATTCAAAAAAATGGCATTGAAACTCAACAGCTGATTAATTTTATTTTAGCTGGTGATCTGACCAATACTATCTCTTCTACTTCTTCATCTGTGTGGGGCAGCACCATCACATACTTTCATTGTACAACATCTGAAAAAAATTAGAATAGCATCTCTGTCTGTGATGAGCAGTCAAATTACCCAAGTAATGCAATAACCTTTTTTCCCCCTCTTAAGTTCTATTCAGTTTTTTGGGAAGTAAAGGACAAGAAAGCCTTTATGAGAAGATGGCAAAGTCAGTCATATGGAATGACAACAAAAATGAGATTTGAATTCTTGCTATCGCCATGAAATCATAATTGTACTAAAGAGAGAAATTATCAGCTATATAGTGCCAGAATTTCAGTCAAAAAACTGAACTGTTTTCATGGCCAAATATATTAAAATATTCTCAGAGTCCAAGTCTCCACATTGGCACTGAAATTCCCTTTCATCTGTTTTGGGTATATTATTCACACAAAAATCCTGAAAGATTTAAATTTAGGGCATGTCTAACATACTCAGAAAACTTAAAACAAAGCAGCTACAGGAGTGACATCAATGTTAAAGCACATTAATCACTCCTCCAGAGATACTAATTCAAGAGCAAAGTCTTGGTTCATAGTAACTGTAATTGCTATGGAGGTTCACATCCTCAGAGAGCAATAAACTAGAGCAAAATAGGGCTACCTCATTTACGTATGAAAGACTCCTAATAATTGTATGGTATACAAAGGAACACTTCATAAAGGTTGCCAAGTAATTTTATTTTTAAAAATGTAAATGCTGGCATATATAGAAACAGGAAGTGAGAAGCTACCAATTAACAAATATTTCTCTTAATGACCAAACAAGGATGAAGCTGCCCCTTTTTTAATTACACACAATTAAACAATTTTATTCCACAGAATTAATAATGCCATTGGGCACTTTGGTGAAAAAAAAGCAAACAAACAAAAAAAAACAATCTCCTTTAAACTACAACCACTCACAAAAGAAGAGAAATGAAAGTGAAAAGAAATAGAAAACAAAGAGCAAATATTACTTCTGCTCATTCAGCAGCATAGTTTGCATGTGATTCAAGCACTGCTCTTCCTTACAAGCGATGTGAAGGTGTTGGTTAGGACGTCTAGGTAGCTCCTACAGTGCTGTGGCTGGCGTTGCCTCACAACCCAGGGCTCAGCAATGATCCATGATCTTGCATGGCACAGAGATGAGACTGATTAGACTGTAGGTCTCCATATTTTCTGCTTTCCTCTTTCTAAAAATCAGGGTTATATTTCCCTATTTCCAGTCATTAGAGACTCACTCACTTCACCTCACTGCCATGACTTTTCAAATATGGTAGATAATGGCTTAGCCACTATCTGCCAGTTCCCTCAGAGCTCACAGATGAATCTACTCAGGTTCCATGGACTTGTGCACATTCAGGCTCCTTAGATAGTCTTGAAGCTGATCCTCTCCTGCAGTGGACTCAAGGTGCTCATCCTCTCAGTCCCCGAATTTGTCTTTTTTTACCAGGGTGGCATGGCTGGGGCACTTGCTGTTGAAGAATAAGGTGTAGAAGTCATTGAGAACCTCAGCCTAGCTGAGAAAAGAGAACTTTATCCAGGGTAGCCAGGTCTCCTATCTCCTAGTGGAAAGAGTCCAAGTTATCCCTAGTCTTTATTTTCCTTGCAACATATCTACAGAAGCCCTTTCTGTTATCCTCATTATTCATGGCCAGACTCAATTCTATCTGGCCCTTGACATCCCCAACCTTGTCCCTAACTTCCTGTACAAATTCCCCTGTTTCCTTCCCAGGCCACCTGTCCTTGTTTCCACTTCCTGAAAGCTTCTTTTTTTTTTTTTGCTCTGGGTTTGCTCAGCAGCTCCTGATACATCCATGATGGCCTCCTAACATTTTTGCCAGATCTCCTCCTTGTTGGATGCATTCTTCCTGAGCTTGGAAGAGGTGATCGTTGAAATTCAGCTAGCATTCTTGGGACCCTTTGCCATCCACAGCTCTATCCCATGGGGCTGTGCTGAGCAGGTCCTTGAAGAGGCCAAAGTCTGCCAGGGAAGTTG